TGTTTTCACAAAAAAATTGAAGAAGTCAAATAACGAAAAAATGGACAATACAAACATCAGAGCACTTGTTAAAAGCCAAAAGTAAACAGACGAAAATAAAAGTATACACAGAAAAAAGAAATAGAGACGAATAGTTGATTGAATAGAAAGACCAAAAACCCACGCATTCCCACAATCATTCAAACACAAAAAAATTACCCCAACAAATGTAAAACACAATACAAACAAATATTCAAAGAATAAACTTGCATAATATCGTACTCACGTGCGGTCGCAACAATGATGATAATACATTCAATGAAATTAAAAATAGGGAATGATTAAACAAGATCCAGGATGATTTTTTTATTTGGTGTTCGAATTCAAACGAGTGCTAAGACCCTTCAAACGCAAATATAAAAATATTAAAAAATATATATATGTTTACCGGGCAGTTCTATTTGATGATATATAGTCAAACAAAGTTGTGCAGTAAACCATAAGCAGATATATATATATATATATGAGGATATATATATATATATATATATATATATATATGTCAGACGTTTCTTTGTTGTGTGGGTGTCTTGCTGGCTTATGATGAGGTGTAAACGAGCAATCTATAGAGTTTTTGATCTAGTGTTGATGAGAGATAGTCTGCATTGATTTTTGTGACAAGTATCTCGAGGGCAGTGGTTGGTGAGAACCACAGGGGATCAGTTGTTGGGCAGTTGCTGATGCTTATCCACAATCGGGGTTAAGGTAGATTGTCACTTACAGTGTAAATAGTTAGGGGATTTTGCAGGTTATCGAGGGTTTAACCTCCTAATGTGTAGGTGAAACTCCGACCAAACAGTTACGGCTTATCGGTGTCGGAACCTTTGGTTCTCAAATCGAGTTCTGACATGTGATAAGGATGTGCATGCTAAAGAAATTTGGAAGAAAGAAATAGGAAAGAAAGGAAAGGTCGGACATATGACTAAGATGGACCATTGGTGCACAGAGTCCCACGATGGGACTAAGAGCGTCGGGACGAGGAGCCCAAGATGAGATCCAGGATCAGTAGAATGCAAAAACGAAAACGAAGAGGGAAAGAGCCGCAAGGCCACAAAAACGTAGATTGGATTAAGGAAAAGGGCAAGAAATATATTGAAAGGATGTTCGGAGAAGACCGGGAAAGACGATATCATCAGTAATCTTAAGAAAACTAGAAAAGATGAAGCGAACGGAGATGGAATGATGTCATTTCAAGCCTGGAAGGTTTTGAACGTCGATGCCCACGACATGTTAAACATACATACGTTACGTGGATCAAATGGGTAAGAAATTGATCATTGAATAGAGTGGGCGCAACCAAGGGCATGTGGACGCGCCAAGCAACAAGGATGTCATCGGCAGTCAAACGAGACATGGAAAATACCTTACGGAGATGTGACTATCAAAGGGCAAAAAATAGTAAAAAGGCGGCTCTTCCTCTTAAAGAAGGAGGATCGTTAGAAAACGAAAATACAAGTAACAGTGTCACAGGGGATGGGGCTCGGTTGGTGCAGCCACAAAAGACGTAAGCGTGCGGCCTAATGGGCCACCCACATACGGCATGCGAAAAGGCTAAGTGTGACGAGCGCGGGGCTGGGGGAGATCCGAGGGAGAGGAGAGAGAGTGAGAGCACACACACACACTCACGTACTCGACACGATCGAGGGTTGGATGCAGACACAGTGGGAAGGGCACAAAGTGGAAGTCTTGGATTCCGAATGCTGAAACAGCAAGTCACATTGAGTACGAGGACACCAGCAGAAACTGGCATGAGATCGGTCCCCGTACGGGGAGTCAGTATAAGTACCAATGACACGTACGGTACGAGGGGCATTTCCGCAAAAGCCCCGAGGGCAGAACTGAAAAATGCAGTATTTGAAAGCGGCGCCCGAAGTGGAGCATGGTGCCACTTGTCCAAAATCCAACGGTACCAAAGGAGGGTTTAGAAAACAGGTTGCCAGGTCGAAACTGGGACGCAACAGAAACAACAAAACGATAGACCAGGAATTGAGCCCCGGCGGAGTCCGTAATACTATCCCCTCCCTCTAAAAGGCAACGTCCCGGCTGCCCAAAAGGCAAGGAAACAAAAAGAGAGGTGAAGGACGGGACAGGGCCGATCACTGGTCGGAGAAGGAGAAGGGGAGTGATGCAACTTAAAGGGTATTATGTCTGGTGTTCTGCACAGGTGAAGGTATGATGTGACTGGGTGGGTCTATAGGGGAAGCTAAGCAATGTTCGGGGAACAGGGGATTTCTATTGATGTTCTACTAGGTAGGGAAAACGATGTTGAGGAAAACAGATAATTTTTATTGATGTTCTAGTGTGTAAGGGAAACAATGGTATGGGGAACTGGAAATTTCTACTGATGTTCTAGTGGGTAAGGGACACAATGGTCAGGGGATCTGCTAATGATGTTCTACAAGGTTGTCAAAGTCAGGAAAAATAAATAAAAAATAAATAAAAACGGAAATGTTTATTCAGTAGGCAAGGGCTAGTGCGTCCGAAGGAGTTGGAAGCAGAATCGCATGTGGGAACAAAGTATCCAAATGTCTTGAAAGGGGATCTGCAGCAGTCTTGATCATCTCTTGGAGTAGGTGGTAGAAGCGGTCTTCAGCGGCTGCGACAGGTAGAAGTCAAAAAAGCGAAACAGTAGTTCAAATGTCCAAAGTCCAAGTGTTGGGGTGCATCCGGTACACGAACTGCAATGAGGTCTGATCAGGAAGCAAGGAAGTCGCAGACTGATGCAAAGATCCATGTTACAAGTTGCTGCTCCAGTAAGTCCGGGAGTCACGATGTCGGCCGATGAAACAACATGGTGGCCAAACCAGCTGCATAATCTCCATGAACAGTGAGGCAGCAGCCCATCGTCCTCGTGCGCTTGCCATTAGATCCTTTATCGTCGACGTCTCGCAGGTTCATAAGCATCGGACGAGAGAGACAAGGAAGTGGAGAGGACAGATGGGACAAGGCTAGGCGAGGGCAAGGGCAGATCAGACATCAGGAATCGGGATCGACGGGAGGGTGGACTGGGTTCAAGGGTATGTGTAGAACCGGGTTGCGAGGTTGTGGCAAAGTTTATACAGGGGTTTAGGGTTGTAGTTACGTGGGTGTCTAGGACATAGGAGTAACAGAATGATAAGCGCGAACAAGTTTCATGGCATTTTTTAGATTCGAGAGAGGTTCACATGTAGATTCTTCGTCGAGGTATCCATTTGACTTTGTATTTAGTGATTTGTTCCAGGTGGTGAGATACGTGAGTAGTTCGTCGACCCATGATCGCTTCAACAATGAATTCAAGGTTTGTGAGTATTATGATAGATGGAGGTCTAGGATTTGGGCCGTCAGCGAATTGGGGGTGGGGGTTTATGATTTTAAGTATTCGACGTGGAAGACCGGGTGCACGCGGCTTATGTCGGGGGAGAGTTGGAGTTTGTAGTTGTCGTCGAAGGTTTTTTCAATGATAGGGAAGGGTCAGGGCCATTTGTTCGAGAGTTTCTTTGACAATTCATGTTCGGGTAGAAAGCGTTTGGCGGGAAGCCAGACTTTGTTCCCTACTTTGAATTGCAAGTCTCATCTGTGTTTGTTGGTCTTGTTTGCTTGTTGTTCGTGTGTTCTTTCGAGGGCTTTGGTTGCTTCTCTGAGGAGTCGATTCGTTGTTGCTACCCATTCATTGAGGGAAGGGCAAGGTGTAGAGGGATTGAGTTGCGAGGGAAGCAGAAAATCAGAGGGCAAGTGCGAATGGTAGCCAAGGTCAAGGTAGAATGGAGACATGTCAGTGAAAGGACAAACAACGTTGTTGTAGGCGATCTCGGCGGCGGTGAGTAGCTAATCCCGGTCGTATTAATGTGGATGACAGTACTTCCGTAGGATTCTTTGGAGAGTATCGTCCATCTTTTCGATTTGTTCATCGGTCTGTGGGTGGAATGCAGTGCTATACTTGAGTGTAGTTTCGTAGGCGTTGAAGAGTTATTTCCATAACTGTGAGAGGAAACGGGGATTGTGGTCGCTGATGATGTTCTCTGGGAGGCCGTGGTGGCGTGCAACATGGTCGAAGAAGGGTAAGGCGATGTTTTTGGCGGTGTGCGAGGTGGTGCAAGGGATGAAGTGGACGCGTTTGGTCAGGCGGCAGACAATGACGTAAATGTAATCATGCCCGCGGTCGGTCTCAGGGAGGCCGCACACGAAGTCCATGGAAATGGACTTCCACCAGTAAGAGCGGATGGGCAATGATTGGAGTTTGCCGGGTTCGGCCCAATTCGAGGGATTGGCAGCCTGACACGTGGGACATGAGTGAATGTACGTTTTTACATTGGTGAGTAGAGGCAGCCAATAGAAGTAGCGGGAGACGGTGTCGAAGGTTTTCTGGAAACCGAGGTGAGTTGCGGTCTTGGCGTCGTGGTGCTTGGCCAAGACCTGGGTACGGAGACCACGTGTGTCAGGGATGCACAGTCGGCGAGTGTCTTTGGTGTCAATGTAGAGGAGGTTGTCATGGAGGGAGTAGTCAAGGACTAGGTCAAGATCGCGGAGCTTGTTGTAAATGGTGGCGAAGTGTGGGCAAGAGAGGTAGCCTTGGGTGTATCGGTGATGGAATGATGGGAGGAGCTGGATATGGGTCATGACAGTGGAGACTTTCTCGGCGGGCTTGTAGTCGGGTCGTCAAGAAAGGGCACCAGCAACGCGGTTGCTTTTGCCGGGTGTATGACAAATGGTGAATGTGAACTGGCAAGAAAGGTAAGCCATCGAGCTTGGCGTGGGGTGATGTCTTTCTTGGTGAGGATGGAAGAAACGATGGTGTTGTCAGTGCGGATGGTGAAGTGTTGCTCATCGAGGTACGAGCGCCAGATTCTGAGGGTGTGAATTATGGCAAGGAGTTCCTTCTCGTTGGAGGGGTAATTCATCTTCGCGGGAAGGAGCTTCTTGCTTGCGAAGGCAATGGGGTGTTCGCCAGGTGGAGCCTCGGGCGAGTCCTTGATGGAGGGGGTCTCCGCTGTGTCGCGGGGGAAATGTCGGGACAGTACGGTTTCAATGGCGAAGTCGGAGGCATCAGTGGTGACATATAAATGGAGAGTGGGGTCAGCAATCTTGAGGACAGGGGTCGTGGTGATGGTTTGTTTGAGGAAGTCGAAAGCATGGTGGCGGCGATCGTTCCAATTGAAGGATTCGTCCTTGCGTGCGAGTTCGTGGAGAGGGTAAGAGATCTCGGAAAAGTTGCGAATGAAGGGGCGGTAAGAGTTGGCAAGGCCRAGGAAGGAACGAAGTTGGAGGAGGGTTTTGGGCGGGGGGTACTCGACGGGTGCTGTGACCTTCGAGGGGTCCATACTGATGTCTTCGGCGGAGACAATGTGGCCAAGGTATTCGACGCTCGAAGCAGCAAACGTACATTTGTTGAACTTGGCGTAAAATTTTTGCTCTCGGAGGATCGAGAGGACTTGGCGAATGTGCTGAAGGCGGGACTCAAAGGTGGGGTTAAAAATGTGGATGTCATCAAGGTACACGACGACACAGACTTTGAGGAGGTCACAAAAGATGTGGTTCGTGGTGGATTGGAATGTGGCGGGGGCATTGGTGACTCCGAAAGGCATTACGAGGAACTCGTAGTGCCCGAACCAAGAGCGGAATGCGGTCTTGTGGGTGTCCTCCTCGAGGATACGGATCTGGAGGAAGC